TATAAGTAAACTTTTAAATAAAAAAATTATATCGTAATATACCACATTTATAAAGTTATAGTAACACTTAGTGTGTATATATATATATATATATATACATACATTCCCTTTTTTATTGCATTAAACTGTATTTGAACTTTTAAGTTTGACAGTGCTTAGTGTGAGTTAGGCCCCATTTTGTATAGTTGTTTTTAGGGAGTAGCGGTTTTGCTTAAACCGTTAAATATAAGTGTTTAGTAAATTTATATATTTTGAAATCACGCTAAATAAGATGTTTGATAAAAAATTTTATTTAGGGATTTGAAATTAACAGATAGTGGTTAGGGTCTAAATCACTGATAAAATAAAAAAATTAATTTAGATAACTTTTTGTATCAAATAGTTAGTGGATCGAAATTTTTTAATTTTAGTGATAAATTTATTCTTTTTAATTTTTTAATTTTTGGTCATAATTTTTAAGTAACATTTATCTAATATTCAATTTTATTTTTTTTACCTTTAATAATATTAAGTGATTATAATATTTTTATTTTTTTACAGTAATTTATCATTAAAAATATATTAGTTTAAAAAATAAAATTTACTAATTAGACAAAATAATTAATTTTTTATTTAAAAATAATATAATTTATTTATTTATTTTCTTATTATTATTTTTATAAAATTAACAATTTTAATAATAAAAAATAAAAAATATTTTAAAAAAATACATTCAATTATTTTTAAATATCTTTATTAGTCATTTAATATTAAACAACAATAATTAATTATTTTATAATCAAAAAATTATATCTATCAAATCTACTATCTATCATTTATTATTTACTAATAATCACATATTACCTATTACTCATTATCTGTTATCCATTACCATTACCATTACCATTATCTGCTATCCCTTGCCCCTTAGCTATTATCCGGTGCTTTTGGAAGGTGACGTGACAGATTTGCTTAAAACAAGTTGTTCTTTAATTTGTGCGATAATTTAAATAAAAGATTTGAAATTAAGGATAATCCTTTTGTGAAAACGGTGAGGTCGAGTTAGTTTGAAGTTCGAACCGACTCGCGTTTGCTTTGGCATTGACTCAGCCAACGTGGTGGAGATGATAAGATGGCATCTTCATCGAACTCAACGGTCCTAACGGAAATTATATCTCACGTATTCTTTATTTTTATTTTTTTAACATAATCATAGGAGAATATGAATTTTTTTAAATAGATGATGAGAATTAAATTTTTAATTAATTAAATTTAAGTATTAAAATTTGAAGATAAATTATTAAACTTGAAGGTTTAATTCTCTCACGTATTCTTTATTTAGCTAAACTATTATTCTAAATTTGTAGTTACCATTTCGAATTTGGTAGATTGAGCAAGCAGAATGAGTATCAAACACAAAATTTTGTTTAGTATTGCTCGTCTTATATATCAAGTTCAATTTTTAAATTTTATAGTCATCCCAGTAAAAAGTATGTTTTTAAAATTTGATAATATTTTAGTTATAATATTATATAATATTATAAATTTATAATTATTATATGTAATTAATTAAAAAAATTAATGTATCATTAAATAAATAAATATACACATTATTATAGGTAAATTTTTATATTAAAAAATTAATTATACAATAATATATCATATTATAAATTTATAATACTACATAATATTATATTTATATTATTTTAGTTTAAAATTACTTAAAAAATTAAATTTAAAATATACATAAACTAATTCAAAAAGTACTCCACTGTGCGAATCAAAACTACTAAAAAAAAAAAAGAAAGAGAAAGAGTTTCAAACTCTCTTGTTCTGTGAAGAAGGTATAGTGCTAACCCTTTTTATGTATTTCACTAAGCTGTCTAGGGCAAAATGGAAAATGATTTTTGTATAATTTTTTTATTTCACTTTTTTGTACAACATGATATGTAATTAAAATGATTGATTCTTTTAATTCATATAAGACCCGTGATATTTAAAGCATTCATTCATTTAATGACATGTGAAAATTATATAAAAATGTTAAACCAAAAAGTTGCCTCTATAACACTACCCAGGCAAAATAATTGTCTTTGTTCCAAGTATTAAAATTTAAAAGCCCTTACAAACATTGTCATATTCCGATTTTTAATTTGGCAAAATTTCAAAGATTTTTCCAGTTCTTGTTAAAACAGGCAGCAACTATCGGATCCCGTATAGGCCCAGGACTTTCTTCCCCCTAGGCTCTAGTAAAGGACTAATTCTTGGACTTCATAATATGACCCAGCCCCACGGCCAAAAAACTGACTCGGCCCAACTTTTAATCTTAGCCACAGATTTGGGCCATCATTGGTGGACCTAAAATCTGGCCATCTCCAATGGTTTCACAGTTTCGGTTCTGATATTTTTTTTTTTTAAATAATAATGGCACCTTAACAGTCTATTTTAAGTACATGCTCTCATATTTTTATTTAATTATCTCACTTTAAATATGTATAATTATAGAAAAAATCTCATTGAATTTATGAAAATAGAATTATTAGTACTTGAAATTCTATTTTTGTCTCTTTTTTACGTACCTATGATAAGGTATTTAACAATGAATAACTTTCTCTTCTCTAACCTGTATCCCCATTAAAGATTCGAACTCATCATGTATATATATAAAATAAAAACCTTTGTTATAATCCTCTCTTCTAATACATTTATTTTTTGAGCAACCATACAACCCCTCTAATACACATTTTTGATAGTTCCTTCTAATACATTTTTAAATTTAAATGATAAAAATTTGTTTATAAGCAACTATATACTAATACTATAAAATGAAACTCCACGAAACACTCAAAATATCATTTTTTTTTCCACTATTGAAGGGTGAAACCGAATTTTTTTTATTGAAAGTTCTTTGTTTGACATTATAGATATTTGAATATTTAATTTTAATTTTAAATCATAATTTTTTAACTAATAATTATTAATTTGATTAAAATCTTGTTAATAGAACTGAGCAACTATGAAATCTCTTTTTTTTTTTAATCTTAATTACATAATAAAATTTATCTCTTTTTATTTTTATCTCTTCACTTAGAACTTCTTAGTTTTACTATATATATATTATAAAATAATAACTATTTAATAGAATTGAGTTCTCCCCAATTAAAAACTCTTCCTTATCAAATAATTTTTATTTTATAATCTAGATTATTTTACTAATAATTTATTTATTCGAATAAAAAAATTCAAAAATTTTTAAAATAA